CCAGTACCAAACGCCTCCCCACCCCAATAACAACAAAAAAACCCTAAACAAACTATACAGGACTATTCCTGAACTCAATTAATATAAGAGGGAAATAAAGTTGCTTCAAGCCTTTAAGAAACGGTTAAATTCTGAGGTGTCCCCCCAAACTCATGATCATGTATGTAAGACATGCAAGAAAGTTTAGAGGAAAATGAATTGTGTCAAATTTTAACGTAATCAGTACTTTAGTCTCTGGATAAGGATTAACTGGGTGGTAATTGTAGGCAGATAAGATGTGGATGGAGGAGCTGGGTCACTGGAGGTGTGCCTTCAGTGTACACCTCTGTCCCTGGTGTGAGGGAACTCTCTCTGCTGACTGATTGTCATGTCCTGAGTTGCCTTCCTCATCATATCCTTCTACCTTGATGTTCTGCCTCACCTCTTGGACCCAGAGCAATGGAGTTGGCCATCTATGAACTGAGACCTCTGAAACTGTGAGCCCCAAATAAATTGCTTAAAGTTGGCAGGTCTTTTGGTCACAACAACAAAACGGCTGATTAAAACAGAAAACATCATAAACTTATGGGGAAATATTAAAAGTTAAGTAGACAATTTTTACTTTTTAAAAAATGTTTTTTTAGTTGTCAATGGACCTTTATTTATTTATATGAGGTGCTGAGAATTGAACCCAGTGCCTCACACATCCTAGGCAAGTGCTCTACCACTGAGCCACAATCCCAACCCCATTTTCTACTTTTGTGTAAGTGTGTGTGTGTTGGGGGGGGGGCGGTAGATGAACCCAGAGGCACTTTACCAGTTAGCTATATCCCCAGCCCTTTTTAATTTTGAGACAAAGTCTCACTAAATTGTGTAGGGCCTTGCTCAAATTGATTGGCCTCAAATCTGCAATCCTCCTGCCTGAGCATCCTGCCTTAGCCTCCAAAATTGCTAAGCTACCAAACCCAGCTCCTGGGGTATTTGTTTAAAATATAGGCTTGCTGGCCCAGCATGACAAACTGAGTCAGAGTCATTGGAAGCAGAATCTGGTATCTTCATTTTAAAATTATAATTCTGTACACTGCTAACAATGATCACCTTTGAGGAGATCTTGATGGCTAACAATAAAAAAATACAAGTCTTGATTTATACTTTTCATACCAATAGCCCATATTTGTACCTTCTGAATTTTGTATCTTTGCCAGAGTTATTAAAAATCTAAGAAACAATAATAAAAACCTAGGTGCTTCTTATATGCACTGAAGCCTGAGACCCAGGATTTTATATTTTAACTCATTTACCAATAGGCACAATCAAAATGACTGTCTGAGAGCAAGGATACTTACTTAAACCTGCCAGAAAGTTTTTTCTGTTCCCAAAGTGTTGTATATCTAATTATTCACCCTTGGGTGCAAGTTACTTAATCTTTCTGAACTTCTCTGCACAATCTACAATTGGGATTATTATAAGGATTAAGTTAAAATATATACAAAATATTCAAAAAGATGCCTGTCCCAAGCAAGTGCTCAATAATTGATACTATGTTTTGTTTGTTTATTGTCCTGGGGATTGAACCCAGGGACACTTTGCCACTGAGCTACATCCTAGCCCTTTTTATTTTTTATTTTGAGACAGGGTCTTGCTAAATTGCTTAGGGCCTCGCTAAATTGCTGAGGCTGGCTTTAAACTTGCAATCCTCTTGCCTCAAACTCCTGAGTCACTGAGATTACAGGTGTGCACCATCACACCCCATGTTTTAAAAATTACTTTGGGGTTCCCGCCCATTAGCTCATATACAAAGAAAGCACTAGTTCTCATCGATTCTTTATAGGAGGAACCCTATCAGGGAAGATGTGGCTGTCATCCATGATGCTGAAGTCAAAAAAGGCTTTCACACTATTGGTAACCTCTCATTTCTGAGGCTAGAAGACTCAAGTCCAATTTCTGAAAGCCACCATAAGTTGTTAAAAGCAATACATTTGGAATTTGGTGGCCTGGGTTGAATTCTAACTCTGGTACTGCCTGGCTATGAGACTCTGGTCTTTATTTGATCTTACTAAGCATATTTTTCACATAAATATGCAAATAATATCTGTTTCACAATGTAATGGAGCACCTTAAATTACACATGTAAATGCATAGTCCTAACCTCACAGGATACATAAAATTCAACTCAAAAGTAGATCACAGACTGCTGTAAGCCCTAAAACTTCTAGGAAAAAAAAAATGGGAGTAAATCTTGGGGCTATGCAATAATTTCTTAGTTATAACACCAAAAGCACAACTGATGAAGGACTGTTAAACTGGACTGCATCAACACTGAAAATGGGGCTGAGGATGTAGTTCAGTGGTGCAGCATTTGCTCAGCATGCTCAGGGTCCTGAGTTTAACCCCAAGTACCATAACAAATAAATAAACAGATTAAAAAAAAACAAATCAAAATGCTTGTGCTTCAAAGAATATTATCAAGCAAGTTTTTAAAAAAGACAACAAACTAGAACAAAATATTTGCAAATCATATATCTGATGAAGGATTTGTGCCCAGAATATACAAAAGAACTCTTACAATTCAATTAAAAAAATGGCCCAATTATAAACAAAAGGTAAGGCTGGGGTCTGCAGCTCAGTGGTAGAATGCTTGCCTAGCATGCACTGAGATCTTGGGTTCAAAACCAAGAACCATAAATAAACAAACAAAAACCAAAGGATCTGAATAATCATTTCTCCAAAGATAACACATGGCCAGTAAGCATATGAAAATACTCAATATTATTAGTCATTAGATAAATATAAACTAAAATCTCTTTACATCCACTAAGATAGCTGATAAATAAATAGACAATAACAAGTGCTACCTAGGACCTGGAGAAACTGGAAGCCTAGTATAGTGTTTCCAATGGAAAAGTCTGGCAATTCTTCAAAATATTAAACAAAGTTATCATTATTCAGCAATTCCACTAGTAGGAATAGACTCAAGATAACCAAAAATACATGCACACAAAAGCTTTTACACAAAATATTCATAATAGCATTATCTGTAATGTGACAGCAGTGAGAATGTCCATCGATTGATAAATGAAAATAAACAAAATGTGGCATAAACAAACAATACTATTACTCAGCCTCAAAAGGAATGGGATACTGACACAAGCTACAACAGATTAACCTTGAAAACATTAAGTAAATTCCATCAACATATAACTGTCTACATATAATTTAATCTACATATAATTTCCCTACATATAAGAAAAATCTATATAGAGACAAAAGTAGGCGAGTGGTTGCTTAGGGCTGAGGGATGGGGGGAAACGCAGAGTGACTGCTAAGAGTTCCAGGTATCTTTTTCTTTTCTTTCTTTCTTTTTTTTCCTTAGGATAATGAAAATGTTATAAAACTTAACTATAGTGATGGATACACAACTCTGCGAATACAATAAAAACTATTAAGCTGGTGGCTGTGGTGTGGCTCAGCGGTAAAGCGCTTGCCTCTCACGTGTGAGGCACTGGGTTCGATCCACACACCACATAAAAGTAAGTGAACAAAATAAAATTAAAAAAAAAAAAAAAACAGGGGCTGAGGCTGTGGCTTAGTGGTAGAGCTCGCCTAGCATATGTCAGGCACTGGGTTCAATTCTCAAAATGAATAAAATAAAGGTCCACGCATCTAAAAAAAATTTTTAAAATAACACCACCAAAACCAAAAACAAACAAACAAACCATTAAGCTAAGTGAGTGGGCGTTATGGCATTTGAATTACACCACAATAAAGTTGTTTGTCTTTAAAACAAAGAAACAAAAACACCCGCCAAAGTTAGTACACGAGATGACCTCCCACTGTGTCCATACCTAAATAACCCTCGGCAGTTGTTCCCCACTAGTCGGAGTGACTCTTAAGGCCCCTGTCACTTTCGACCTTACCATCCCTGATACACCAAACGCATTCCTGGGGGCCTGGGGCTCTTCTAGGAGAGGAGGGAATGGACCACAATGTCCGAGACACTCAGCCTTTGGGCACAGTGCGGTGGTTCACACTGTCCGCAGCCCTTACCCAAGGCACAGGCCATGGCAGCACCCACGAGGCCTCCGCCCGACACCACTACATCGTACACTGTGTCTGCCGAGACACTGGAACACCTCCGGCAGGAAATCAGCGGGCTTCTGCGTGCAGCTGTAAATGCAATAGCCCACCCGGTCCTTGATACCCGGGCAGCCATGACGCTGACCCGGGCAACCATACCTAGTGCCCGGTAAGACCCGCCTTAGGTAGTGCTTCCGGAGCAGAGTCCTCCAATCCCGAGGGGCTTCAATCGTGCCCTCTGAACCGGAAATAAAATGCATGAAGGAACCAGGCCAATCAGAAAACGATTTTTACTTCCTTGGGCGGGACGAAGTATAAGGACGCCCTAGAAGCCAATAAGAGGCTTATGAAGGGGCGTAGAGCCAAGAAAGGGTGTAGTAGCACTGCCACCGCCGCCTTTATCTCCGCTTCTGTTTCCTTCTGCCTAGCTAAGAAGATGACTGTAGGAAGGTCTGCAGGATCCCCTGATGGGGCAGAGTGGACAAGTCAGGTGAGGAGAGAAAGAAGAGAGGTAGCAGGGCTGCGCTTAGGAAACGAATCCCTAAGTGAGGGAACTGTTTGGCGTTGCCTTGGAGACAGAAGGCAGGGGCGTGTCACCGAGGGGCTGGGGGTTAAAATTGGCAGCATTTAGGCCTTTGGAGGCGGATTCTTGTCTTCGGGATTCGAACTATTTGTGCCATGCTCTTGGACAAAAACAGTGGAGTTCAGTTTTTGCTTGTCCTCTCATCTATATTATGACAGTTGTTGTCCCTATGTTGTAAAAGAGAATACAGAGGCATAGGAAGATTAAGAAATTTGCCCACAAATCCACATAGACAAAAAGTAGGTTAGTAATTAGGGGAATTAGGGAATGTCTACTAAAGGATATGGAGGTTTTTTTTGGGGGGGGGGACAGGGCGATGAAGATGTTCTAAAATTTGTTGTGATATTTGCATAACTCTGTACTAAAACCCATCAGATTATGCTCCTTGAATGAATTGTTTGCTATGGAAATTAAATATCAACAACGATTTTTTTTTTAAAGAAATTTGCCTGAGACAACTGCTCTTCAGTAACATAGCCAGGACTACAGCGTATACACAGCTTTGCCTCAGAATCTAGCATTCTATCTAGTCTTACAGTTGGACCTTACAGAACCCAGTGAAACCAAATATATCTCCTGGAGGAATGCAGTGTCCTGCCTTCAGTTGATTTGCCTTTTGCAACAATTCATCTACATCCTGGCTCCATGCCAACCTCTCGGAGGACATCTAATGCCACCATGCTCCAGTCACAGTGGCTCTCTTTCTTATATAAGATTCAAGTCTTTTCCTTTCCGGGATCCTGTATCAAGGCCTTTACCTTTGCTGTTCCTTGACTCCAGAATATTCTTACCTCAAATCTTAGCAAAACTGGTTCCTTCTCGTTAATTGGGTGTCAATCCAAAACTCCTCCATAATGAGAAAATAAAAATCAGCTCAGGACTGAGAAAGCACAGATATCCCCAGCTTATGACGGTTCATCTAATGATTTTACAAGTTTACAATGGTAGGAAAGCACTAAGTATTCAGTAGAAACCACATTTCACATTTTGAATTTTGATCTTTACCCTAACTAGCAATATCATACTCTCTCCATACTGGTAGAGAGACAGAGAGCTATAGCTCCCAGTTAGTGACACAGTCGTAAGGGTGAATAACATAATCTATAGTTTGCTGTAAATAACATAACATAATAACATAATGTATAGTTTGTTGCTAAGCTAGGACATTCATTAAATTGGGTGTATTAGATGCATTTGTTTTTTTACTTATTTTTTACTTAGGTTTACATAACCCTATCATATGTCAAGGAACATTTGTATCCCCCAGACCATAACAGACACAGATAAAGCCAGCTGCAAAATCAGCAGGAAATAGTGTTTCTCTTGGGGCCATAATATAGCTACGAAATTACTAACACCCCTTCTTCTAAATGATAATGCTTACTTAACAGTTACTTACCTTTCCCTGCAGGGAAAAAAATGCTCAATTACCCACTCACTAAACCATTCCCATGTTGGGTGTGGTGGCACACACCTGTAATCCCAGCCACTCTGGAGGCTGAGGCAGGAGAATCACAAAGCTATATCCATCCCTTTTTAAAAACTTTTTATTTTGAGAAAGTCTTGATAAATTGCCCAGGTTGGGTTGGAATTTGTGATCCCCAGTACTACAAAACAACAACAAAAACCCAATACTAAAAGAAAAGGTTAAATTGTTCCTACTTCATGACTGCACCTATCCTCTTATGACCTTCCTAAGAATCAATCAGACAAGCCAACACTAAAATCCTGCCACTAATACGCACACACCGGGTTCCTTATTGTTTCTCATGATGTACTATAATTAATAAACATCACTCTGATTATGGATACATTCCTAGTGACTCTAATAGATTTTATCAACATAAAAGTTTTCCATAAGTAACCCATCACTCTATAACCTCAGTGTTTATGCTTTTATTTGAATATGTGATCTTATTATATTTTCTGTCTCCTCTCACTAGAATGTAAGCTTCTTGAGAATAGAGACCTTGTTTGTCTTGTTTTCAGTCTAGTATGTTAGATATCCAACAGATATTTTCTATATGAATGAATGAATGAAGTTTTGTTGTTGTCATTTTCCAGCGCTGGGCACAAATCCAATCCTTGAGCATGCTAGGCAAGCTTTCTACCCTGAGCTACACCCCTAGCCCCTGAATAAATTATTTAAAATTTGGTTGGGTGTCTCATGTTCTAGGATATCACTCTTTCCATTAGACTACATTGTCCTATTAATCATCCATTTCTAGTGATAGAATAGAAATTAGTTAGAACATGAGAAAAGCAGGGGCCTAAACAGGGCAACAAGAGAAGAACAACAGGTAAATCTCAAGGAAAGTGGGTACAGAGTGTGCCCAAGGTCCTGGGTAGGATTCCTGGAATGCATGGTGCAGGTTAGGTGCTCTGCTTACTGTACTGCAGGGATAGGGAACATGCTTTAGCTCTTTGCTTCCCTTTCCTGCCCTACAACCAAGCACAACTGTATACCAGGATGTGAAATTTTTTTAGAGCAAGGAACACATCTTATTTGTTCCTCTTATCCCTAATATACTAAGACTTATTCAAAGTGAAATTAATCATTATGTTTTGAAGATTGTAGAAATTATAGTTTAACTCACAGTTTATTTCTATTCCATTTTAGATACTTTCCCCCCAATCTTCCTCTGACACGGAGGCAGAAGACAAACTGTCTGGGGATGGTATGGTTTTACCCAGGGCTGGAAAACTCCATGAGCTCCTCAGCCTAGAGGATGAGACAGAGTCCACCTCTGTCTCAACTGGAAGCTTTTATGACTCCCTACAGGTTCTAAAGCAGAGGGACAAACAGGGTCTGTTGGAGTCCCTTTTTCAGGCTGACTCAGACAGTGATAAGAACATCTCTGAAGATGATGAGGTCCTAGAGAATTTCTTCCAGGACAAGGGCAGGGGGAAGCCACAGATCCAGTACCCTGGATCTCAGAGGTAAGGCTCTATAGTCAACAGCTACCCCACTCCACCACTCTGGGTTAGTCATGCCATGTCTTTGGGCTGTATCTTCCTTTGTCATGTAGGGACCATGTCTGCAAATTTCTATTTAGGCAGGCTCTGGCTCATAATCAAGTTTTGAGTCCAACCAACTGTTTTGATTTCTACCAGCAATCCTAAATTATTGTGGGCAACTCTTAGTTCAATGAAACATTAGAATTGATTAAAGGAATGTCTTTCCTAAACAAACCTTTCCCCAAGAATGACAAGGTACTTTGACCTTGGCCAACTCGGCTTTTGCTCATTTAGTATTTGCTTTCTCCTCCCAGTAACCTTATAAGTGGATATTATATTTGTCACTCTACATATGAGGAAATTCATAATCTTAAGGTTTGAAGCAGGTCTTTAACTTAGATCTAATTCTAAATTCCTGCTTTGACCTATTGCACTGTTTTCTCTGTCATATGCAAATAAGAGTGCAAACATGGCAGTTTGTGGATCAATTCTGAGAACATTTCTACTAGGCTGCTAGGATTGCCTGTGGGAAGAGTGGGGAGGCCTCATGGAAGAGTTATGGATATAGAGGCTTATGGGGCTGTGAGATCAGGCTGAGAAGCTAGCTGTGGCTTGCCTGGCAAAGAGGCCTGGGGAAGAGGATCAGGAAACAGCAGGGCCTCCTGACTGCCCAGTCCTCCACACACAGACCTGCTCTCTCCCACAGGTGTGACTCCACAAGGCGCTGCAGCTCCCTGAACAGCCTTTCCTCTGGTGTTCCCAAGGCTCAGGCCCAGCCGCCCTCAGGCTCCAAGTCTGCCTCCCAGCACAGAAGTGTCAACTCCTGGACATCGTCCATCACCGTCCCTCAGCCATTCTGCATGACAGTGCGGGAGGCCCAAAAGAAAGCTCAGTGGCTGGCCTCCCCTGCCTCCTTTGAGCAGAAGAGGCAGCAGGCCCAGAGGCAGGGCCAAGAGGAGGCTGAGTGCCACAGACAGTTCCGAGCACAGCCTGTACCTGCACATGTCTACCTACCCCTCTACCAGGACATCATGGAGCGCAGGGAGGCCCAGAGACAGGCAGGGATCCAGAAGAGGAAGGAACTGCTCCTCTCATCCTTAAGGCCCTTCAGCTTCCTGGAGAAGGAGGAGCAGCGAAAGGAAGCTGCACGACAGAGAGACCTGGCTACCACAGTGAAGGCTACGGTCCCCCCAAAGAAGGCCATAAGAAGGATCCCCAAGTCCATTCTGGAACCAGCCCTTGGGGACAAACTCGAGGGTAAAGATATCCTTGCCACCTGCCGCCTCCTGCTTGTGGGTACCAAAAGACCCAGTTGGTTAGTTGGCTTGGCTTGGAGATGAGCTGTCTGGGTGGACCCAAAAGAGGCTGCAGGCTCAGTGTAGGCCATGAGGGAGGTTTAAAAAATATATGTGAATAAGGGCCTCAGGCTTTATTCATTCCACAGCCACATATGGTACTTACCAGGCACTGTTCTCTGATGAATAAGCAAACATGGAGTTTGTAGACATGTGAGGAGGCAGATAATAGAAAAATAATTATAATTGGGATAAATCAGCCATGTGTAGTCATTTGTGATCTCAGCTACTTGGCTGAGGTGGGAGGATCCAAGTTCCAGGCCAGTGTAGATAATTCAGCAAGACTCTGTCTCAAAATAAAAAATAAAAAGGCTGGGGGATATAGCTCAGTGGCAAAGCACTCCTGAATTTAATCCCCAGTACCCTTCCCCCATTTTTTTTTTTTTCTCTTTAAGGAGGTGAGAGCTCTTTCCCTCTCCCTGCTGCATGTGCCCACAAGCCCTGGTGGAGGTCACCTCCAGTCTAAGACAACATGTGGCTGGGCCTTCACTGGGCTTTCAACAGGCAGAAAAATAAATGGCTATCATGTTACACTGATATTTTGCCTTCCCCAAACTTTTAAAATAAAATTTTAATTAAAATGACTAGGAATATAGCTGAGTGGTAGAACATCCTGGGTTCAATTCCCAGTACCACAGAACAACAGCAGCAAAAACAAATGGGATGAGTCATTTGTAAGAATTAAAGGGAGGAAGCATTGAGCATGCAATAAAAGTACCTAATTCAGTGTGTGGTGAGGAGAGAGAGAGAAGTTCAGGAGGGATCCAGAGAAAGTGAGCTCTGGGATGATCCTGACAGAGGAACCATAGTTAATTTGGTGAAGAGGGAGGAGGAAGAGCCAAGTAGAAATGTGGCCTAGAGGTAGATGGAAGCTGAGAGGATCAGAGAAGGGTGACAAGGGAGGAAGGATAGGTATAAGAAAGCTTTGAGGAGACTTGCTGGCCACTTGGATGAGTTTGGATTCCATCTCAAGGGCACTGGCAGGTTTTAAGTAGGGTGGCTCATGATCAGATACGAAGTTTAGAAAGATCACTTGCTATTGTAGATAATTAAAGGTGGCAGCAAAACTGGAGAGATGTTGATCTAATAGGCCATTTCAACAATTCAGTTTAGACATCATGAAACTAACAGTGGGGATGAAGAAAAGAGAGAGGCTAGAGAAAGGCTAAAGAGGAAGATACAGAAAGTTTGACAGGAGAGAGGGAAGACGCGACAATTGTTTGGGCAAAGGGTGTGGGCATTTGAGTAGCTAGAGAGAAGCAGGGGGATGGCCTGATTTCCCCTGCTTTGTCTCTAAAGAGGAAGTTGTAGAAAGTGCCCAACAAGCATAAATGGTAGCTGTTTCTGCAGTATGACTAGCATGGGCAGTGGTGGCCTGGTTACCATATACTAATGAGCATTCCAGAAAAAAGAACAAAAGCAAACTCATTTTCGAAAAATTTTTAAGTTTGTAAAATTTTGCCATTTCTTTATATTGTGGCCAAATGCAGGTTTCCCACAGGATGTCAGTGGGTTTACAGTGTTCCTGAAGAGTTAACAGTTGACTTAACACTACTGCTGGTGCTTTTGGTGTGAAGCTTGGTCTGTATGAACTCATCACTGCCCTGATTCTTTCTCCGCAGAAGCCGAGCTCCTCAGAAAAATTCGCATCCAGATGAGGGCCCTGGACATGCTCCGGAAGGCCTCCTCCCCTGTTGCCTCCTCTAGTAGCCGGGCTGATTCGCAGCCCCGCACAGCTGCCCGAACCCAGGAGAAAAAGCTTGGCTTTCTGCAGCCTGACTTTGGATTCCAGCCTCAGGTGAATCCTGTTGTTCCTGACCATGAGGGTCTATATCAAGCCTTCCAGAGAAGAGCTGCCAAGAGAAAGGAAACCTGGGAGGCAACTCGCAACAAGCCCTTCTTGCTGAGGACCGCCAACCTTCGTCATTCTCCACGATCCTGTGATGCTTCCACCACTGAAGGAAGGAGGGTGAGGGCCCAGGGAACTGTGGGAGGGCCAGGACCTCCTGGGGCATGAAATGCAGGATGGGCCTGGGGCTTGAAGGAAAGCACTTCTCATGACATTTTTCTACATTAACTCTCTTTTTTTTTTAATATTTATTTTTTAGTTTTTGGCGGACACAACATCTTTGTTTTGTATGTGGTGTTGAGGATCGAACCCGGGCCACACGCATGCCAGGCAAGCACGCTACTGCTTGAGCCACATCCCCAGCCCAACCTTAAAGACTCTTTTTTTCCCCCCAGCCTTTTTTAAATTTTGAGACAGGGTCTTAAGCTGCTAAGACTGACCTTCAACTTGGGATCCTTCTGTCTCCCCCTCCTGTGTCCAGGCATATCAGTTGTAAGCAGATCCACATTCCTGCAAATTTAAGACCTCAGGAGCACTCCTTTTCATTCCCTCTATCTAGAAGGATTTTGCAGATATATGCACAAGCAGATCTGGAAGGCAGGGAATTGGGATCAATTGCTTGTGTCCCTATACCATTTCCAAGGAAATATCATTTGATAAAAAACTTTAGGGTTATTATCCTAGTCTTGTCCTGGTTACTAACCCAGAGATCTTATTATCTTTGTCTTATTCCTAGGAATAAAATGGAAGATTCTCATTTTCAGTCTTTCATTGAAATTGAATCTCAACTAAGACAGAAACTAGTCATACATGCTATCCCACCAATACCAGCTTTCCTTTCTTCTAGGGTTCCCCAGAGCCACCAGCTACACTCCTAACAAGGAGTCGTTCTCTGAGTGGCCTTGCTTCCCTCTCCACCAACACCCTCCCTGTGCATATCACAGATGCCACCAGGAAGAGGGAATCTGCAGTCAGGTGAGTGGTCAGGCTGCATAAGACTCAATGCTCTGATCTGGGTAAAATTCGGGAATCCACCTTCCTGTGAGGCCTTCTCACTTGTCCTCAGAGACACCACAAAGGGATTGAAAGATTCCTTGATCAGGGCAGGAATACATGTGGTCTCCATGACTGGGGCTAGCCACCACTCAGTTCTCTAGGGGACTTATTTGGTGCAAGGCACAATATTAAGGCTGAAGATCCTTTAGAAACCTAAAGTGTAATATCTAGTCTGAAATATAGAAAAGCTCAGATGCTATTACTGTATTTTGTAATGAATACTGTGAGGGCACCAGGCAGCCTGGGGCAGAGGTCTCTTGCCTTTTGGAAAAATGTCTGAGATGAAATCTAAAGAATGACAGGGAGTTAGACATATGAAGGCTTGAGAGAAAGAGAGTTCCAGACAGAATAACATGCACAAAAGCCTATACATAAAAAGAGGGTGGTAGCCACGAAGAACAAGAATTCAGAAAAGTGTGATAGCAGGTGGCTGAACCTGCCACAAAGATAATGAAACACTGATTACCTAGAAATGCTCTGAGAGTCATCTTAGGGAGATGTCAGAGTCTGGAAGTAGGAGTTTTTTGTTTATTTGGCTTTTGCAGTGTTGGGGGCGGGGGATAGAACCCCAGAGTCTTGAGCATGTGAGCCAAGAACTCTACCACTGAGCTGTACACTCTCCAGCCCAGCCTGTTTATTTTTAACTCTTCAGCTGACCTCATTCTGGTATTGTTCTCTTTGAGCCAGTCCCCAGGAGAGTTCCTTCTCCTTCAGGCCTCTGAGGTAAAGCAAAGCAGGATGGTCCTGGGAAAGGACTAACATCTAGTACCTCTAAATACCTTCCCATGGGGCTTCCATGGAAGTAGACAGAATTTACTTGGCTCCTGCAGGCAAGAGGGATTGTAGAAATGTACTTAAGATCCACAAGACATAAATGCATCTCTTAAATGCATCAGTTCCTAAAGCCCAATAAGAGTGGCCTCATGAACAAGAAGCCAGCCAGCTATGGAGAATACCCACATCTCTGTTCCCACAGTAAGGAATTGGACATTTTCTTTCTTCCCTCCCTTTTTTTGGTACCAGAGATTGAACTCAGGGCACTCAACCACTGAGCCACATCCACAGCCCTATTTTGTATTTTATTTAGAGACAGGGTCTCACTGAGTTGTTTAGTGTCTTGCCATTGCTGAGGCTGTATTTGAACTCAACGATCCTCCTGTCTCAGCCTCTGGTGTGCCACCACGCCCAGCTTTCTTCTTTTAAAAACAGTGCTGAGGATCTAACCCAGGATCTCACGCAAGCTAGACAAGTGCTTACCAGTGAACTACATCACTAACGCTGGAGTTTGATTTTTTTTTTCCCTTTTGTATGGGAGACTGAAACTTAAGTCCTTGCTCTTGCTAGGCCAGAGTCCTACCAATGAGTTACATATTTGACCCTTTATTTTTATTTAGAGACAAGGTCTTAATAAATAAATTGCCCAGACCATCTTCAAACTTTGCAATTCTCCTGCCTCAGCCTTCCGGGTAGTTGGTATTACAGGCGTGTACCACCACACTTGGCTCAGAATTTGGTTAAATTTCATGCCCTTTCTTAATAAATGTTCACATCCCAGTGCAGGCCTTAATTTTTTTTCTTTTTGGTAGAACTCGCCATAGAATCTTGTAGAATGGTAATTACACAAACCAAGCGCTGCAAGTTGGCCCCAAATTTTCAGTGGGTATTGAAGGAGGCTAATTTCCAGTTCTTTTTATATATGCAAATTGTGAATTACAAACCCGGGGCTAGGTTATGGCTCAGTGGTAGCATGCTTGCCTAGCATGCATGAGGCACTGGGTTTGATCCATAAAAATAAAGACAATAAAGTCCATCAACAACTAAAAAGATATTATTAAAAACAACTAAAAAGATATTAAAAAAAATAATCACAAACCCAAATACCTTCCTGCCCACTGTTTACAGTGTTCAAGGGTAGAGATTCTAGTTCTGATCATGGCTTTCTTGTTGGCATGTTGGAGACTGAGCCTCAGACTCCTTCTCTGTAAAAGGGGAGCTTACAGTCTTTACATTATGAGGCCCTTTTGAAGATTACATGAAATGTAATAGTATTTGATTCATGGGTGGGTAGTCCAGCAAATGGTAGTTGTTAATATTGTTTCCAGATAAGTGAGGAACCTAGCAGATTTTCTGAGTATTTGGCTATTTAAGGATATACATGTCTCAAGTTCAATGAATGAACTTTTCCCATAATGCTGGAAAGGTTTCATTTCCCAATGCATTTAATCCCAGAAGCTTATTCTTCCTGAAAATGGCACCATGGTCAATTATCTGCCTCATTCATAAAAAACAAACAAACAAAAAAACACTTTCCAGAAAGAGTACTACAATTGCTTCTAAATATACCCAGGTTGATTATCTGTACTCTTATTTTTGTTCTCTCC